CTGATGCTCAACACCCAGGGGAAATATGAGAGAGATATGCATCACTTTGTACTTGCAGTGAAGATGGGGATGGAGCCCGTACGGGACTGTTATGAGTGCTGTGATGTCAATTCTTATTTCAACATTCCACATCAGGCGTGTGGTGTAAGATCCATGTTTCTATACCCAAACTGGCACTGGCTGGATTATGTGGTGAGCATAATGCTACCCAAAGTTACTTCCCAGCTAATTTCCTGGCACCCATTTGTAAACTTGGTTGATCTAGGGGCCGAGGTCATTTATTTAAAAAATCAAGCTCAATGAAAGTTCAAACTCAAAACCTTAACTTCCTGCATGGGCTTCAGGGCCACCTTTTGGGGAAAAAAAGGGGGGGGGGGCAGACCCATGCCCCTCTAACAAGCACATTGTTAAAAGTTGACTAATCAGGGGTGCCCTATGAATTTAGAGTGCAACTGCCTGAGACGCGAGGAACCAACACTCATATAAACCAGAACTGTAAAATGGAAGTGGACACAAAACTTAAGTTCTAGAGCGAGTCTGAAGTCCATAATTGGACAAATAACCAGGATTTTCCACCACAGTTTACAAATGGAGAAGGTGAAGAAGAAGCAGAAGAAAACCTAAACCCAACAGACAACAATGACTAGTTTAAACACAGGTATAAATAGGTAGCAAGATTAAGAGTTTCCAATATCTACCTGTGGTTCATGAAGACTTAGTTTGATTTAAAATATAGTATACTCTCTATGGTCACAGAACAGTAGATTAGAGATCTCTTGCTAGTTCTTATTTTATGCACCCTCCTGCCCAAGGGGTCTCTTATGTCCATTTTCATGTTGGTCGGCCCCTGGCCCTCTTAGCCAGTACCATAATGTTCTTTCCAATCACTGTAGCACTTGATAAGGCCAAAGTATTTCAGTTTTTCAGATAAGATGCTGTTTATGAGCCAATGTTCCTTGATGTTCAGATTTTTTAGAATTTCTCTTTCTTCTTTTTCTTTTGTCATCTCACTGAAACCAGGTTGTAGTACACTGTCATGGTTTTCCAAATTTGAGAGGCTGTATGGTCTCGACGCATGGTGTCCGCCTCAAGTGCTAGAGGTTCCGGTTTTAATTCCTGGTAAGGGCTGGGATTTTTTCACGTGGACTTGGACTTCTAGTAATTCCCCCTGGTCTCTGGATAGTGAGATTGGATGCCCGAAGTGCATTGTTGTGCACGTAAAAAAATCCCTTGGCAGTTGGGAATCGAAAAGAGAAGCCTAACAGCACTGCCCGGGCAAAATTCGGAGTTAAAAATCGACCCCAAAGTATTTCAGGATCCTTGCTGGTGCTACAGAGCCTGTGCACTGTGCTGAGTTTCTTTGGATTCAGACTTGAGTTAGAAGAAGAACGGAGTACTTATGGGTTACACCCGTGTGCCATGTTGTTGATCCGTCGTTCAAAACCTCAAACCTCTAAATTTGTGTTGTGCTTCTTGGATAGCTTGAGTGTTGGATACTAGTATTGATTTTTTTTTTCTCAGTCCATGGAATTCTGAGAATCTTTTTTTTTATTTAAGTAAAGTGTTTAAAAGTGTGTGTGCGTGTGTGTGCGTGCGCATGTGTGCGTGCGTGTGTGTGCGTGCGTGGGGGGGGGGGGCTTTTTAGCTCAAAAGACCCTATGTAAAGTACTAAAGTAAACTCACTTGAAGCAGCGTTTGTAGACATACTTCCAGTCTATATCAACATTTTCTGCTTGTTTTGGAAGAAACGTAAGAATTTGACGATTGTTGAAATGAAACAAGCACAGATCTTTCCACAGAGACTTTTCTTCAGTTACCTGACATGTAAAAAAACATACATTACAGTAATATATTATTTTGGTGTTAGTAACTTTACCACTGAAAAGAAACTGCCTGACAGCATTCTAAAAGTAAAAATGTACAATTACTATTATATTACTTTTTTTTCTGACATTGCCATTCTTTCTCTGTTTATGCCATTTAGTCTTCTCTTGACACCTTATTAGTGAGCCTCAGAAACTCCCAGTCAGATAATAGCTGTCAAAAAACAGTCATGACCTTATTATAAATAAATGGTGTTTAACTCCTGTGGCCTCAAGAAGACGAAGTCTAGTCACTTCAAGTTGCGATTCTGTCTCGTAAATGCCACTACATCAGCGAAGTTAAAATTCTGCAGGTTCTATGTCTGCATGTGCAATGTTTAATAGGACAAGGATATATACTTAAAAAATAAAAAGCTTTTTAGATTGTTAAAAAAAAAAAAGGGGGGGGGGGGAGGAATCCCTTATAGTCCCAATAGCTTTTTCAAAGACATGTTGATGTCAAATTGTCCTGTAAGCCTCAGTGACAGAGGTAATGAGTCACCCAATAAACGTTGTATTTTTTAGGCCCCAGAAAATGTATCCCATTCAATGCTTTGCTCTGTTCATGTTTACTGATCAACCCTTTTATAGACTGCAATATTTTTTTTTTTAAACACGCAAACACCTGCATGGCGAAAGCGTTAGGATAAAAGGATCAACTTCACTGCAACAGGTTTTAACTCCATATGGCTTAGTCTCTTGCCAACCACAAAAAAACTGGCATATCTCACCAGGAACCCCTCACAAAATAACTGACTTTACAAAGTGACCAAAACCACGAAGACTCAACAGAACTTCTTTAATGAAAAGATGCAAGAACTATGGTAATTAATATTTCAGTAAATTTTATAACTCAATAAAATATAAATGATCAAATTTATTTAATTTTCGTCATCAGTTGCAAACCACTTTATTTATTCTTGATTACACCAAACATCACTTGTTAATAACATTTTATATTTGGTTTGTTTAAGCCAAACAACATTTTTATGCATCATTTTATATCTGAGGTTTAAACCGTACATCACATTTAAATGTGATTTTATATTTGGTTTGTTTACAACAAACACGAGTTTTAAAAATTAGTTTAAATTGTGTGTTTTTTCTTTTTCAAAAATTTCTTCACTTGCTGTCTTCTAAATGTGTTTTGTTTTCAAGGCTGAGGAATAATGGCTACTTTTCTAAGCATCACCATGTGTGTGCACTGGCTAAATTTAAAAGAGAATCCCATAGTGTGTAAAGTCAAAAACCTTAACCTTCAATCACTAGCTATGGAAAACTAAATTTTCTACTCATGCAATGAGTGGTCGATTAAAAAATTTTTTTTTTTTAGATGTAGAACGTATATGTTCAGGAAGGCTATTCCGGTCAACAAATGCCTGGAGAAGATGGATGTGTCAGCCAAAAGGCGCAAACATTACAGTCATAGTGTAAACGAGCACAACACAATTACATCTTTGAATGAACGTAGACGATGAAAAAGAAAAAATAGGTTATGTACCCGATTTAATGTTGTACTGGCCTGTCCAGCTCTCATAACATCTCGGTGATCTGCAATCTGAGAAAAGATGTTTCTCAAACAGTCCGAAGGAAGATCGGACAGCATCAGCTGGCCATCCTTATTCCTCTGCAATAGACAAAATAAATAGATTAAATGTGTTAGCTGATGATCAGTTATAATTATCATTCATGTTAAATATTTACCATCTCACTGGGGGAAGGGGTAAAAAAAAAAACCGCCAACAGCTGTCCCAGACAAAGTTAGAAATTATATTATCACACAGATTGTGGGAACAGCACCATGCAAAAATTAATTGAGAAACAGAAGATTGAATGGTTTGGTCATCTAGAAAGATGCAGACAAAACAACCAACAATGCAGGCACCAATGAAAAGATCCGATGTGAAAGAAAGAGGTCACCCTAGGGTAGGAGAAGATGGACTGATGATATTAAAGAGCTTCTACATATAACAACAGCCACATCTGCCCATCAAGTAGTGGATCACAAACTGTTTCTCTCCATGATCTTCATGGCAGAAATGGAATTTGATGATGATGATAGCTTTCAAACTGCAGGTTAGCTCTGGTGCATGCACTATGCATATTATGTAGATGATTCCCCAATCTCCGCCACATTGAAATTCCCATATCACTGCCTGAAAGTAATGAGAGTAGTCTTTTCCCTAAATCACGCAGTGCAGCAATCAAACCCTGGTACATCAAAGGACGAGACTGTAAAATTATTTCCTCAACCTTTAAGCCCCAGACTCACACACCATTCAACAGAGGTACAGAATTATCTGTATTATACTCTGCTGGTTTACAATCTTCCAAGGGCACCTTATTTATTAAAAAATTTTTTTTATCTTCTTCTGTGTTCATCTGAAGATGTTATTGTGCTCTGTTTGTTTACAGCATGCTGTGATATTTGTGTCTTTTGGCTGACAAATCTTACTTCTTCAGGCATTTGTTGACCTGGTTAGCCTTCCCGGAACTATTATATTTCTCAAGGTGGACGGATATAACATTAAAACATAAGTGTGTGTTCTATTCTCTAGCCAAATTCCTATATTTTTTTTTTTTTTTTTTTACAAAAGAGGACAACTGACTTTTTTATGTTACAGCATAAACGGGACTGTCCTTTTGAATTCCTGGTGAAAATGGGACATATGGTCACTCTTCCATCATGAAAAGACATATATATGAGACATTACATACAAATATCGTTTAAAAAATTCAAGAGGCAGAGAAAAGGGATCCTGAGTGTTTCAAACAGACCATGATAAGTTTGATATCTGGTAAAGAAATTTACTATATGCTGAAGATGAGCAATAATTCTAAATGTAAGAGATTATTTTAAACCATCTACTGACAGGCGGCACATGGCAAAATGACTATACACTTCATATACTGAAGTATGTTAACAATTAAAGGATGAAGTGTCAGGTTTTTGCTATTCCAATTTTCATTAGAATTAGTTCTGCCTTTTTAGTCACACACATGTTATGTCCCTGGAGACTGGCAAAACTGTGAAGTTATCCAACAATTATTCATTGTAATTTATGGCATAGTTTTCTTTCTTCTTCTTCGTGTTCACCAGCTGTAAACTCTGGCAGAAAGTTCTGGTTGTTCATCCACTTTTGGACTGCAGTCCTGTTCCAGAACCTGAGTGTTATGTGTGCATCCGTTTTACAGATCTGAAACATTTGTATGCAGACTTCTGGTTCCTTGCCTCTCAGGCAGATTAACTCCGACTTTGAAGGAAGCTCCCAGTTAGTCGACTCTTACGACATGCATATGGGTAGGCCGTGGGTCTATTCTTTTTCCCCTTTAACAGGGCCCACATGGGTGAACTAATATAGTGAACTAACTTACCTCTTTCATCTGGTATTCTGAAAGCTGATTTTCCAATCTGGTTACTGTTGCTAAGTGTTTTGACCAAAATTAACCTTTATGTGATAAGAACCATTATATGGCGATGTTGGCTGATATCACCTCTAATAACACCTAAGCAGGCATCTTTTGCACAACCAAGAAGGTCATTCATCAGGCCAATATTAAGCTCTGTTTTAATAGCTGAAGATAAAGCAATTAAAAACATCCATTTTAAAACTCGTTAAAGGTGAAGAGGTCAGTGTATTTTGGGTTACTTCCAAGAAGGTCAACGGCCAATATTAAGCTCTGATAAATAAAGTTTAAAAATATATTTGATTTCATCATTTTGGGTTACTTCCAAATATTCTTAGTGGGATAAATAAGTTAATATATTTGGTCTTTCAACACCATAGGAACAGTTAATTTTTAACAGCAAATTAGAACTCAAGAGAAAAAGAAATTCTGCAGCAAAGCTTCACATTTTTAAGAGATTTATAACATTAACAATGAAAAACATAAATAAAATAACATACATACTTACTGGGGATCTTAAAACAGGTAGAAGTAAAAAATTAAAGTTATTATCACCATTATCAAGTCAGTGAAAAATTTCATTTGGGGAGGGGGGAGGGGGGAGAATATGCTTCCCTTCAACTTGTGAAACTTATTTTACATTTTGGACCAGTTTTATTCACTATGAACAAATACAGTGGTGGTTTTAATCAGTGATTATAAAACAGAAACAAAAATTAGGTTGCAGAAAGAAAAAGGAGAAATAAATGCACCTTAAATTTTAATTTTGTTATTTAATGTTACCACATACCTAAAAGAATTAAATGTTTCATCACAGTTTCTTGTAGAATTTCACTGTTTTCTTCCACTCCTATTTGCATAATAATATTGTATTTATTTCCTCCTATTTGTCTGACTCAAAATAATACCCAAGGGATTTTAATGACTGTGTGGAGTCAGGAGCCAAAATAATAAACAACAACAACTGATACATAAAAAACCATATTCCAAACAAGAACAGAGAATAAACTGTTGTTTATCCAGGAGATAACATAGCATACTATCATCATCACGTATCATGTCCTGTTCGGAATGTAACTTTTATATTGACCTGCCACAATAACTTGTGGTTTCTCACCATTTTCCTGCCTCATATATTTTTATTCCTAAGAGGTCTCTTATGTTTGTACTCTGAGCTAGCTGACCTTCGATTCTTCTTTCAGGAACCATGCCTTCCAATGCTATTACTTCCAAACAATTGCAGTGTTTTCTTGTACACAATCAATCAATTACTCAGTACGTACTTTACAGAGTGTCACTCTCTCCATAGAATGCCTAAAAGTCTCTCTTTCTCCAATCAAGTCTATACCCTGTGTGCTTTCATAGCCAATGCATCTTCAATTTCCTGTATTCCTGTATCCACCTTCACGGAGGTCAGTCTCTGCCTCATTTTCTTGAAACTGATCTCTCTATCACCATTCTTTCTAGACCGCCATGGTGCCTGGCATGGCCAAAATACCTCAGCTTTATGAGCCAATTCTCCCTGACATTCAGGTCATGCTAGATATTGATGTTTTTAACTTTTCTTGGCCCAAGGTTTTTAAGAATTTTCTGTAGTATTTCAGTTCCAAAGTGCAGATTTTTTCTCTAAAGACTGAGTGATAGTTCCTTGTATACATACAGAAATATTTAAAAAAAAGAAAAATTAACTGAGTAAAACATAAATGCATCTGCATGCTTTAGGCCTAAAGAAAACAAACAAACAAAACCCACCTTCATTGATCATTGACTCCAGGAATGCTGAAGACAAGTTTCTGCGAGGTACCACTGAGGGTGGGTAGCTTCTTTTCCAAAATGAGAGTCATCAGCTATTGAGATTTAGTTATCAAAGATGAGGTAATTCAAAGTAAGTAATGCAATTAGTTATACTGAGCATATAATACTTGAGACATATAGATCAATTTGCAATCTGTGGGTGAGGTAGTCAATATCGTGCTGGCCACCTTTACTTCCCAGTGCATTTCTTGACACCCATTTTTGACTAAGCTAACCTAGGAGACCAGCTCATATTTAAAAATGTGCTTTCATGGTGATTTAAACCTGTTACCACAGGAATGGCTGTGACAGTTCTAGGGTCCCAGTGCTGGGAAAACAAAAACAGTCCCACTGCCTCCCCGACAAGCAGTGAGTCAAATAATTAGGGGTTTCCTTCGAAGTCGGACTGCATCTGCTTGAGAGGCAAGGAACCAACATTCTGCATAAAAAAGATCTGTAAAATGGGTGTGCATGCAACACTCAAGTTCTGGAACAAGACTAAAGTCCAGAGGTAGATGAACAAACAGAACTTACTGCAGGAGTTAACAGCTGGTGAACACACAGAAAAAGAAAATTCTGTGAATAGTATGAATTTCTTCTTCCTTTTATGTGTAATCAGAAGAGGGTCCCTGTGGTGAAGTGGTCACACTATTTGCCTCACGCTCTGAAAGTTGTAGATTCATTTCAAAGCATTTGGTTCAGGAGTTGAGTTTTGACAGAGATATCTTGGGGATCATTGATGGAGCTATGGAATTTGGTGCTTTGTCTGACACTCTAAGGAGACAGCTAGCTGCTCTGCAGAGAAAGACTAAGCCAGTGTAATAAGTCCAATCCTCTCGACCTAAAATTTACCTCAACATGCAACCATGGAACAAATTTTTTAAATGTTTTGACTTATTTTACATGTAAAAGCAGTTTGTGTGTTGCATTGTCATTCACAGCTACACTCTATATCTGTGTTGCTCAGCTAAACAAAACATCCAATTCAGGAAACATCTAATTAGTTGCCTTTTACAACATGCTTGTTAGAAGTTTACAGGTCTTCCTCCCACAATGGGTGAACTTACAAATAACCTAACATCTCTATAGAGACAGTGTTCAGTTCTCATAAAAAAAAAAATATGTGATGTATTAAATGTAAAGGGCCCTTCTCATAATATTTATGTACAGATCATATGGCACCAGATCCACATTTGTATAGACCAATCAGCACTGGGTGATGTGGTAAGTTTCATGCCAGTACCTTTCCCCTCCCTGAAAATTTCCAACTTTTAGGCTGGGTCACCCTAGGAATCAGGGTCAATCTGGAATTGAATTAAACTTTCTGGCCAGAAGCCAAGTATCTAGCCACTAAGCCACAGCAGACCCATATGATGTGAAGGACATAGTTAAATTTTAAAATAATCAATGAAACCTTAACTTGTTCTGTCCCACACAATGTATGATGAGTTATTTGGAATTCTTTGAATCCCACCCACAATGTAATATGACCAGAGCATACTAAAAGAAAAAAACCTGCTTTCACAGTATTTAGCTTTTTTGAAAGTAATTAACTCACGGTTGTCCTATTGGTTTTTTTTTATACACATGGAAACTTCCTTTAAAACCGTCTGGTTCTCAATGAGTTTAACTGGTGAACACATTTGATACTTACCCTGGCCACAAAATTAGCACGGCTGAGATCTCTGGCAGAACCAGCCATATCTAGCCTCACCAGAGCTTCACTGAGTGATGTGTGTTCAAGTTTCTAGATGAAATAAATGATCTATAGATTTACATCCAGCTTGAAATAAATTATCTACAGATTTACAACCAGCTTGAAATATCATAAACATTTTCACATGCTTATCTTTTCAGTACCCAAAAAAAAAAAAAAAAAAGTTGTCCAGATTGTCACAATTTAAAACGGATACTGGGTAATGCTGAGTGAACCAAACAGATACTGGGTAATGCTGAGTGAACCAAACAGATACTGAATAATGCTGAGTGAACCAAACAGATACTGGGTAATGCTGAGTGAACCAAACAGATACTGGGTAATGCTGAGTGAACCAAACAGATACTGGGTAATGCTGAGTGAACCAAACAGATACTGAGTAATGCTGAGTGAACCAAACAGATACTGGGTAATGCTGAGTGAACCAAACAGATACTGGGTAATGCTGAGTGAACCAAACAGATACTGAGTAATGCTGAGTGAACCAAACAGATACTGGGTAATGCTGAGTGAACCAAACAGATACTGGGTAATGCTGAGTGAACCAAACGGATACTGGGTTGTGTGAAGAAAATGGATACTGGGTTAAGTGAAGTAGATTCCAGGCTGAGTAAAGTAAAACAGAAAAGGCGTTGAGTGAAGTAAAATTGATACTATGCTGAGTGATGTAATACTGATACAAGTAATGATGACTGAAGTAAAATTGCTGGCGTGATACTGACCATATCACCCATGCAGTATTTCTTCTTCCTCTTGTTTAGCATTCTGAGCCCCTGAAGGTCACTACTGTAGAAATCACCCACTCTTTTTGTACAAACAAATATGCACAGATTGGCAACATACAGACAGTCACAAGTTATTGATCAATAATTTGTTTTCTCTGTGTTAGTTCCAGATCCGAAACAAAATACTTTCAGTAACTTTTCATTCAACTAAATATACACAGATTTATCAAAATACAGACAGTATTAAGTTACTGACCATTCATTCCTTGTCTCTGAGTGTGTTCCACAGCCAAAATAAAATACTTTTAGTAACCCTGCATACAACTAAATATGCACAGATTTCTCAACATGCAGAAGTCACAAGTTACAGATTGTTAATTCCTTTTCTCCATGTGGGTTTCGAAGCCTAATTTTATGTTGGGGGAGGGGGTGGGGAAATGTAGTAGAAGGTGACTACTTAGGGGTCTGCTGAAATCGGATGTGTTTGGCAGAAAGGCACAGATATCACAGCCTAGCTGTAAACCACTACATGCATCCACCACACTCTAAAGGGTGAATGCAGAAGAAAAAGAAAAATATTAATTTATGTCTAAATTTGTTTATAAAATTAAGCTTAGATCACAAGTGTTTTCACAAGCCGGAGACAGGCAGTGCAACCATTAAATCAACCTATCCCCCTACCTGTAAGTAATCAAGTTATAAAGTTACAAAGATTGGCTTAAATATAAAATAAATATACTTTAGCAAGAAATATTACTTCTTTTGTTGATCCGCTGTTGAAAACTATAAATGGCTGTCTGCGACTGGTGATTTCTTGAAGATTGTCGAGGTTTTCCAACGCTAAACGAGTTGTCCTGTAAAGGAAAAACATTATCTTAGTAATGCTCAGACAAGTTGTTAATGATGCAAATACTAGTAAATTTGTCTGACGCTGTCTCCACACTGAAGGTTGGCGGAAGTGGATATATGCATACTGATGTTGTTGACACTCTTACAGGGTAAGGTTGCAGTCTCTTCCACTGTGTGGCACTCATACCAGTGTCAGAAAGCCATCCAAATTGTCTTTTTCTAAACTCTCTGTCCAAGAAATCAAAAACTGGTACATTAAGGATTGTGAAACAAAAAAACTAACCATTGAGCCATGTATTATTTTAATACAAGCCACTAAGAAAACACTAATTATTTAGTCAAAACATAGAAAACCACGTCAGATGGCTCACAGAGATAACCTTTTTGTTAGTGAGTGATTTGGGGCGGTGGGGGGATAGGTAACAATTTATTAATTTTGTCCAGAAATGTAACTTGAATACATTTTTAAAAATACAGACTACAGGGCTGGTGGGGCTGAGGGGGTGGTATTGCAGTAGTTTAGATGAAATACTTCAAACAGACATGCAAAAATATACTACACAGTATGCAAATGACTTGCAATGGGAAAGATCCTGCATCTGTCTAGGCTACAGTGAGATGAAAGATCCTGTATCTGTCTAGGCTAAAGTGAGATGAAAGATCCTGTATCTGTCTAGGCTAAAGTGAGATAAAAGATCCTGTATCTGTCTAAGCTAAAGTGAGATGAAAGATCCTGTATCTGTCTAGGCTACAGTGAGATGAAAGATCCTGTATCTGTCTAGGCTACAGTGAGATGAAAGATCCTGTATCTGTCTAGGCTACAGTGAGATGAAAGATCCTGTATCTGTCTAGGCTAAAGTGAGATGAAAGATCCTGTTTCTGTCTAGGCTACAGTGAAATGAAAGATCCTGTATCTGTCTAGGCTACAGTGAGATGAAAGATCCTGTATATGTCTAGGCTAAAGTGAGATGAAAGATCCTGTATCTGTCTAGGCTAAAGTGAGATAAAAGATCCTGTATCTGTCTAGGCTAAAGTGAGATGAAAGATCCTGTATCTGTCTAGGCTAAAGTGAGATGAAAGATCCTGTATCTGTCTACGTTACAGTGGGTCAACTTAGGGGGATAGCTGGTAAGTTTTGTAAAAGTCCATGACCTCACGACAGACAGACAAGCATCTAGCCACAACACCACGGTGGCTCCCTTTCACTACTAAAATGACTGGAAAAGATCACAATTTATAATCAAAAGCTTATTTAAGCTAGCTTATGGGACTGCAATTTATGTTTTATTTTCTTCAATGAAGCAATCAACCCATCCAACTTGACTACAGATGACTTCCTAACAGTTTACAGGGTATCCCAATAAAGCTGCAGTTATACAGTTGAATGAGGTTTCTGAGATTTGTACCAGTGCTCAATAGATCCTCCTCCCCCCTCCCAGCAGGTCTTTAGGTTTGTGTGTGTGTGTGTGTGTGCGCGCGTGTGTTTGCAGGTGTCGAGTAACCATTAGGGTGCCCTAATTATGGATTCTGTAAAGGTTGGAAAAAAAAAAGGGGGGGGGGGGGGGTTCTAGGTCTGTTGGTCTGCCATGGCCAAGAAGACTGAATTATGACCCAGAAAAAAAGGCGGAGGGGGGTCGGGGGGGGGGGGGTACCGACTGATCGAGACATTTTTCAACAACGTCAGTATGGGGTAGAAGTAGGCTGGAAACTAATAATAATTACGAGACATTCATTAGACAAAGGAGTTATTATATGCCATGTTTGTGGATAAATAACATCTGTGGATAGATAACAATAAAAACCTCACATTATCTTTAGAAAGAACAAATAATGTGTAGTGACTTGTTTCGTGATAAAAACGTTTATAACATAAAAATAGTAGGTGACCGAAAGAAAACATTGTTACAACTATGTAATTGACATGACGAGGACGCCATTTTAATCACTTCCTTTTTCCAAGAAACAAGTTATAACTGGAAGATTTTAAAATTAGCACCTGGAAGTAACAAGAACGAACTTTCACCTGCAGTGTATATATATAACCTGCAAACTTCGCCTAGTTAACAATAGGTATTGATGTCATAGTGTGAATAACCGCAATGTAATACTATTACTTAGACGCATTTTATACTTTCTCTTTGTTTT